AGCACTTCACCAAGGTTATTACGTGTATTTGCGGCGCTCGCGCTGGTTGTGACTTTCGCCTCCAGTAAGGCAGGAGCTTGAGAGCAGTGGTAAGATCATCATACACTTCATGGTCTGCTAATATAAATGCATTGGCTTCTGAATGTTGACTGCGCACCATTTCTACTTTAACAGTTGCTGTGCATTTCTTTCTGAACCACTTCAGTTAGGATTATTCCTCACAGTTTGTTTTATAAGTGAAATGAATGGCTTTTAATTCGTATGGCAGCTGCTGTATATGTTTGTACAGAGCAGGTGCGGACTAGACTTAGCCTTTATTTGACTACAGCGAGTTCATGCACGTGCTCTGCAAACCCCTCTCTGCTGACCTTTACGCAGATTGTGTCAAACTGATATTAGATAGGGATTGTTTCACTTGTACGATTACATTAATAACAAAGTAGGCTACTAACTTTTTTTGTGATAATTTAATTGACCTTAGTTTCAATATTAATACAATTTCAGTAACTGAAGTAATAGCCTATTGTTGTGTTTCAAGTTAAATGTTCAATTATTGTTTTAGTAGCTAAAACTAAATTTAAATTTTTGCATTGTGATTTGCTGGCAGATGGATGTGACATTTTCTTCAGGGTCAGCTCTGAACACTTGTCCTTCCCAGTTAACCCGAATCCTTTTGGGTTGTGCGTGTCACCTGTTACCAGCTCATCTGTCTACATTAATTATCACTACTAGTTTGAAAGGCACAATATTTACATTGCAGGAGGTTTTTTTTTTTATTACCAAAATTGAGTGTTGCTTGCATAAACGTTTTAGTGATTTTAAACTTTTATGAGAAAATGTGCAGTGGTTACTTCATGAAGCTAATTGTAGCTGATCTGACCCTATACAATTAATTCATATTTAATATTTAATTTAACTTAAGTTAATTTAGATGTGGAGTTACCTAGCAAAACATTTTTTCACACTGTGTGCCCATCACATGATTTGCTACAGTGAAGTTTTAATCCTCTTTGCCAGTTCTGTAAAGATTAATCAGCAATGTCTGGAATTCTTGGGAACGTAGATTATGATCCAAAATAGTTTGATGGTCATAAAAATGCAGTTGTACATTTATAACGTGCGTCTACAGAGGTTATTTTTAAATGTGAGTAAATGACACAAGCCTATTTCATCCATTTACTTCTCAGAAAAAATATTCAAGAGACTGTGGCACAGAGTCACATGATTAACTGGCTTTAGATAGTACTTTAAATTCTGGGTGTATTGAATGGATTAACCCAACCAGCACTTTATGCAGAAGTTTCCTTTGTCTAGAGGTTTATTTGGCTCTCATTGTTCCTATTAAAAAATGTAGAAGTAAATAAGTAAGCACTAGGGCTTACGTACCTATAGAATTGCTCAGACAAGGAATGAAGATTAGTGGGCCGTCCTTAAGGAGCCCAGCAGACTGTGCAGTTTCTCAGGAAGACAGTAAGGGTTACATGTCAGGCCCCAACGGACACGAGGATTGGTTTGATCTGATTGTGTGCACGTTCTTTCCCTGTAGGGTGTAGCCCCAATTCATTTTCCTATCTCTAGCTTGCATGTGTCCAAGCAAGTTAGCAGAGCACTTTTGGTGCATTGCATCAGTGTGACTTTTGTTAATGTGTACTTTAATGCCTGTAGTTATTTCTGAACAAATTTAAAATATAGTGTGTATTACCCTTTGTTGTTCATTTGTTGAATGAGACCGTCTCAAGGATGCATGTTTATCTTGCCTGCAGTGTTTTTCTCTTATGCTTTGGATTATTAGATTAATTTGTAACCTTCAACCTCTGTAAAAAATAAATTAAGTCCTTGAGATGTCTTTCAGTCCATTGTCATGTTTTTCAAACTTTATAATTTAAGTTAAACATTCATATCTATCTATCTGTCTGTCTGTGTATGTATAAGCTACATATACACTTGTTTCTAATTCTTGTATAAACGACGAGAATTAGATTTGATCACCTTATATTAACTATGGACTTCATAAGATATTGATTTAAAAATAATTTTATCACACCACCAACCTAGTTTAAAGAGATAGTAAACCTACACTTACATGATTACTGTCAGGATTAAGTTTTGCAGATAGAAAATGTATCTACATTTAAAAAAATCTACATAATTGTTTTGTAGAACAAATATAATCTTCATGCAGTTCTTTTTCATTCATTGACCGTTCATAGTGACCACATTTATCACGCCCCAAAAATATGGTCAATATGACCAATATGTTATAATACAAGTTTTCTGAATTCGTATGATAATAACGAAGTCTAATAATGAAGTGATATGTTCACTGATAATCTTCCCTGGTGAATAGAGTATTTCCACAATGACATATGCAACAGAAAAATGTGAAGCTGCACTGACACGCACAGGTGTCAAGTAAAGGTAAAAGTTCAAGACCATGTCAGTCACCCAGAGAAACCTAAACAAAACACTGCATAGTGCACCTTAACCAGCATTACAATAAATATCTCTGTTTAAGATAACTTTTTTTTTTTTTGTTTACACAAGGAATCTAATTTTGTTTTATGATTATGATTTATCTATTTCCCTGAGATATAGAGTTCAACAGTTCTCATTCTCTTGCAGCAGTTATTTGAGGCCACGATGGATCAAGCCAGGACAGCAATTTCAAAAATCGTAAGACATACTTTTCATACAAATTAATTTTGCCATGGCATTATAACAGAGTCATCTGAACCAATCATTAACCATATAAGGGCTAACAAAGAAAGCACAATTTTTGACACGAGATCTGTGACTGCTGAGATTTAAATGTTTCTTTATAGCTGAGAAGATTTTTAGGCACTTTGACTGAAACCTTCTTAATTTGTTCCTGATATCGGTTTTACTACTTGTGCTGAAATCTTTCAATATTCAAGAGAAAATCTGAAACCTCATGACTTTAAACACGACTGGCCTTTTAAGTGTTCTTACAGTGACGAGAACCCAGGACAGTATTTTATCATGGTGTCTTGTAATCTGTATTTTTCCAGTTCAATGGGGAGCCGCGCTCCTACACTCGCTTTAACCTGACCCAGAACATGGAGGGTGACAACAGCCATGTGGAGATGAAGCTCTCATCTGACATGGATGATGAAGTGGAGGCTAACGGTGTTGGGGAAAACACAAACCAACATAATCATCCATATTACCCCAGCAAACTGAACCAGCGTTCTCCCAAAACCGTCTGCGGATATGTCATTGGCATTCTGTTCCTTTTCGTTATTGGTAAACCAATATGCTGGTATATTCAAGCTTCTTATGTGGCCCTCTGGAATTCTTTATTCTGATTGGTCAAATGTTTTTGTACAATGACCACTAAACTGTAATAATTTCCATGCACAAAAACAACTCCTATGTTTGTCTTTCAGGATACCTCATTGGTTACCTGTCTAATAGAAGCACAGACAAAACAGAAATCAAGTCAGATTGTCCGGTCTTTAATGAGATTGCCCCAGTGAAAGCAGAAGCAGTTTATTCGTTGGACTGGAGTGATCTCAGGGCATTGCTGAAAAAGAAATTGACAACCGACAACATTAACAGCAACCTCAAGTAAATACACACAACTGCACTGTTGCTTTTTCCATACTGTAAGTTTGAGCAGGTATTCAAATTAAAGATGATCTGTTTTGCC